CCCCTTCCATTTAGCTCCCCACGGCGCCGGCCTTCCTCGTGGCTGGGGACCCGCGACCCCTGCAGGCGTCTGGGTCCAGTCCGCTGGGAGCCCAGGCCCTGGCCAGTGGAAGGCGGCGACTGAGGCCGTGAGGACTGGGAGAGAGCACGCTCCAAATGCCATCTGCACTGGGACTTCTCACTCTCCTGCGCAGTTGACTAGGGAAGCCACCTAGAACCCTGGGCCCCAGTGCGCCCATGCGGTCGGATGGCCCTGCTTACACTAGACGCACCTCCGCTCACGTGGGAACACCGCCTTGGGCTCCCACCACTCTCATCCCCACGGTCCCCTGTTCGGCACACAGACGTGTCAGTCCTGACCTTTGAGACGGGGTGACGTCACTAATCCCTGCCCCACGCCTAGGAGGAGTGGGGTGAAGCCACCCATGGGTGTCTCGGACTAGCCACGGAGCTCGAGCTTTTCAGCCGTGTCCCTGGAGACCAGTGTTGGCTGACAGCCAGGGCCAGGGGCCAGGCTGCTGTGAGGTCCTCGGTGATCTGTCCGGAGCCCACTTGGACTGACGGGGCCCCACGATCTGTCTGGCATTCTCAGAGTTACTAGGCCAGCCCAGGGCCGTTGCCAGGGACTAGACACAACCCATGTCATCATCTGGTGGGGAACAGCGTTTCAGCAAAATTACGGGCTGTTCGAACCGCTCATTCCAGGCCCCACTGCCGGCTGACGTTCCAGCTCAGGGGTCTGCGGTCCTGGTTAGTACGGCCCAGGCCTCAGAGCAGCCGAGGCCAGGACCCGGGAGCGCTGGGCAGATCTCAAAGGCGAGCACCCACAGCCACACCCAGCTGCCTGTCAGCGTCTCGCGAGATGGCGCTTCGGCCTCCACCGCTGGTTCTCATCTGGTGCCAGATTTGGCCTTTCTGGGCCGTTGCCTGGCGGGGTCACAGGAGCAAAAGCCTTGTAGCCGCCCAGGGTGCGCATGGTCCTGCTTCCTGACATGGACACCACTGTCCCCTCAGTGCCGGGACGTTGCCTGTCACCTTCCGTTGCCTGGAGGAGAATCTGGGGATTGACAAGCGCGTGACCAGGTTCGTCCTCCCGGTCGGAGCCACCATAAACATGGACGGGACGGCCCTCTACGAAGCAGTAGCCGCCATCTTCATAGCCCAGATGAACGGGGTGGTGCTGGATGGAGGCCAGATCGTGACCGTGAGGTGAGTGGACACGGGAGGCCCCTGTCCTCACGAATCCCCTCGACAGAGGGTCTGGGGTCTTGATGCTCCTGGAGAAAGACGGACAGGAGCCGAGACAGGGCACGGCCACACCACCCCAGGGAGGCGTGCAGAGCACCACGCCCCTCACCACACCTTTGTTGGTGGCACGGCAGCTCCCCGGGGCTCTTGGGGACCCCGTGACGTAGCCGGGCAGTTAGCCCTCTACTGTTTCTGTGTGAGGGGACTCGCCTTCAGGGCCACCGTTCTCTGTCCGAGCCACACCGTCAACGGCAGGCCTGACTTGGCCGACTCGGACATCAGCAAACATGCTCCTGTCAGCATTCCCAGGTGACATGGAGGTGACGAGCTGCCAGCAGGAAGTGATGGCTGGGGGGGGGGG